GAGAAATATTAAAAAGGCAGAATATTATATTTCCCTAAAGGAGAAATGGAGAAACATGCTCTTGGAGGCAGAAAGCAGCCTCCAGGTCTTTCTTAATAGCCACAGCAGATACTGAGGCCAGCTTTTAGAGATGCAGATTTGGTAATCCATTCAAGACAGGATATTTTGAAACAAAGGCAGAATGGTAGGATTAGCCCTTACTCAAGATGCAACACCAGATGAAGCCACAATAGGAATTACTGCATCACCCTCAGAAGAGTCCAAACTTCAACCAAACTTAGCTCAGACAAACACCTAGGACAGTGATGGCAAACCTTTTCTGCACCAAGTCCCCAAACCAGAATGTGCATGTGTGCATGCAAGCATGTGCACCGGAGTCCTGGAAACTCAAAAGACCAGCTGGCAATTGTGCATGCACGCGGTGGCCAACTGGCCTTATGCTTTCTGGTGTGCACATGCATGCTGGCCAGCTGGTCTTTGCACGTGCCAGAACACTGGAAACCAGGTGGCCGGCGTAAGCATGCGCGCTGGGCAGTTGATCTTCGGGTTTCCGGCACATGCGAAGATCAGTTGGCTGGCACTCATGTGCACACTGGAAACCAGAGGAGAAGCTGGCAACAGCAGATGTGGCCACAGAGAGGGCTCTGCATGCTACCGCTGGCACGCATGCCATAGGTTCACCATCACAGACCTAGAATTTGTACTTTACCTATAGAGCCAGCTTTGACTCCTACATAACCCTTACATGGCCCCATGGGAATCTGACAACAGCCAAAAGAATACATGTTCTTGTATAGGAACAGGAAGCTCAAGTGCAAAGCCCAAGAATAGGTATAAAAACCGCTCACACTCAACTCTATGTGGTCAGCTACACCAGAACCCTGTGCTTGGTGGTTCTGCTTCATCGTTAAACCATCTTTCCAAACAGCCTCCATGTCTCCAGTGTCTTTCTCCTGGTTTGGAATTGAACCAGGTGGATCTTTCTCCCAACGGTATAGGAATCCAAATAGAAGCAACTCATAGAGATGGCTATCTGGCTTCTGCTTAAAGAAAGCCAGAGGATCTCATTACTGCTCTGGGTAAGTGATTTCACCATCAAACTCTTCTTGCTGTTAGTAAAATTAATCTTTCATTTGTCGGAAAAGCAGAGAATCTGGTAGCACTCGAGTTTAACATATTATAGCATATATTAATTAGTCTCTGATCCATGAAGGCGTAACTCTCTTGGATCCCTAACAGGTGTCAGCAAATTTATTTATCTTTTAAGATGTTGCAAGTCTCTATTATGCTTGTCTCATCAGTACTTCTTGTAGTCCTCCTCCTCTTCTTCCGCCTTCTTAGTTTTGTGACTACTGTATATTATTTAGAAATAATAAGTGAATAAGAAAAGTAGGCTTCTATTTAAAGGAATCAAGAGGCAACCTGGTATAGTATGCTTGACTCCAGGGCATTTGAAAGAACATTGAATGGTGAAATAAAGTCTTTTGCTGCCCACACTTTGGGAGAAGTTGTTGTGCAAGCCACCATTCTACTCTGCCAATTCAGAAGTGAATTGCTGATATCCTGGAGCAGAGTCTCTATTTAGAAGTTAATTGATCCTTCCATCTCACCTCCCTTCCCAAGAGTTTCACGTGGTTTTGGCTTTTAATATTTTTAATAAGGGAAAGTAGGAAGATTATCAAACAGAAGGGGGGAGAGGAGAGGACAGATGGACTGCAGGATGGATGAACATTAAACAGAGGGGAGAGAGGAAAGGAAACGGAGATGCAATTCAGACAATACATTCTGATTAGAGAAAGGGAGAGAAACCTTTAGCAGCATTGAAATAAGGAATGTACATCACTTGGGTGCTTAATAAGTAATGAAAACATTTCCAAACTTTCTTGAATTGCGGGGAGAATGCAGAAATAGAATAGAAAATAATTGCACTGTACAATCACATTTTAGGGTAGATAGTATTTACAGTAGCCTGCAATTGTGTCAATAGACCAGAAAGAAGACATATAAAGCAAACAGGGCCATGCAATTCATGACTGGAAGCTTTCAAGAAGAGACTGGACTGCCGTCTGCCAGAAATGTTGTAGGGTCTGTTTGGGCAGGGGTTGGACTAGATGACCTACAAGGTCCCTTCCAACTCTGTTAATCTGTAATTGATTGGGGAGGTTGAGCCATGG